CAAAGCATACCAGCCTCCTTTGTCCTTCTGAAACTTAAATGGTTTTAACCATGTCCATCATGGCGAGGCTGTGGGGGGTATGTCTTAAGGAAACCCAAGAAGTCAACCTTAGGACACATTTAGTTTTACATAGGCTAGACTGGAATGTTCTAGAGAAAACTAATGAGAGATTAGGACCCCTGCTGCCACCATTCCCTTAGTCAAAGCTGAGAGCTTCCTTTATTTGCCTGGAATCTGATACTGTTGAATAGTTACTACAGAGGAAGGTTTAGGCAATTCCAAGGGCTCTCATTTTAATATCCAATTACATCTGGGCTAAGGAACAACTGCCCACAATTAGGCTCAAGCCAGAAATGGCAAGATCATTCTTTCACATGTCATGTCCTTTCTGATTATATATTTAGCCAAAGGCAACGCCACCTACTGGATATATCTTAGTCTCTTATTTTCCTATTTGCAGTTTTTACTATGACCATGATGCCTCCTACCACAGCATCACTTGCCTCCTTGTCTGTCCCACCAGCTTCCCTTTTGCTCTTCGCATTGCCTTCTTGTTCCCCAGCAACATTGCCGTACATTGTGCACCGGCATCCAGTAATTGTAATCCCCAAAAGCTGTGTTCACCACCCTCAGACATTCGACTTTAACCATAGGGTAGCCTTGGAGCCCCATTCAGAATGAGGCAAGGAGATCCTGGCCTTCAAGTGAGTGTTCTTTGTTTCAACTGCCTTAACGGATGGAGTAAATTCAGCAACCATGTAAGTGCCTTTTGTTTCCATTCCCACTAGCATCATTGGATTTAACTTCTGAGATGAAAGCAGCAGATTTAACAGGGGTCCTTAAGGGAAGCAGCTGCCGGAATTGGAACAGATTTCCTTCCTCCCAGCCGGCAATAATGTGCCAGGAAACCTTTCTTAGGAATCCTGTCAATTTTCTTCTGTGTCTTAAAAGCCACCTAAAGAGAGCTAATAGAGTCACCTCTGGCCATGACCTTCTGAATAGCCCAGGTATTTTTTTCTTCCATCAGTAAAACCCAGCACGGCAGCTGCAAAAGCAGATGTACCCCATGAATTATATATACCCTCCTGCCTTCCCCAAAGGAGAGCCACATGGGGAACCAATGCCCGAGGCGCTCTCCTAATCACAGTATCTACTAGAATGTAGGTCAGAGGGTCTGGTTAGGTAGGCTCATTTTTTTATTATTATTATTGGATGGCCAGCTGAGGTTTGCTGTTCTCTTAAAGGGCCGTTCCATTTCACAGCAGTGAAACAGGCATCTACCTACCTCAGGACAGCTTCATACCACCCAGGGCTTCACCCACTCCAAAACGGTCATTGATTATGCTCCTGCCAATAATTCCCAAATGGCAACACTGCAGCAGATTAGGAGTTAGCATTCACACCAAACATTGCTTTTCATTCTGCAGCATGCAAAACAATCGATCAGCTCCTAGGTCAATTAACTTAAAGATCCTGGAAAGCATGGAGACCCAGCTTCTTTATATTAGAATTGCTTCTTCAATATGGTAGCTATAAGCCACAGGTGGCTAGTGAGCACTAGAAATACAGAGCCTGAATTGAGGCACTTTAAAATATACACTGATGTCAAAGACTTAGTATGAAATAAAGAATGTAAAATATCTCTTTAATTTTTACTTTCAGTACATGTTTAAAGAATATATAGGACATATTGAATTAAAGAACATGCATTACCAAAAGTAATTGTGCCTGTTTCTTTTAACTGATTAAACTGTAGTTAATATAAATCTAAAATTTAAAATTGCACATATGGCTTCTATCTGTGGCTTAAATGATATTGGACAGGGCTGCATGAGAGTTACTTGTTTCGAGGGCCACTTGTCTGGGCTTCCAGAGATGTGGCATCAAAGTTAAGTGCAATGTCCTTTTAAGTCCCAATTGCACCCGTGTCTGCATCTTGAGCTCAGGCCATGAACCTGCTTGCCTCCCTTGCTCTAGTTTCTTTCCCCCCAAGTGGTCTCAGTTTCACAGATAATGAATAGGAGACAAGGAATTCATTGTATCTGGTGCCATTCTCCCCTCAGTTTCATCACCCTGGTTCCTTTCAGCTTTATTTTACTGATCACCCTATATGCCGACTCAAGAAGGGATCAGACTATGTCACCCACATTCTGATAGTAAGATTTATCCCCAGTTATTTTTCACAGAGCTTTGCTACCTCAAACCCGGGTGGATCAGAATCACATGCCCATCAGAATTCCCTCCCGTCCTTTGGGGTCTGAAACGACCTGAGAGCTTCTGTCACCACTGCTGAAATCTGGGGGTCAGATTGGGAAGCAGACCCTGCAGGCGCAGTGGGCTTTCACCTAACACAACGTTCAGTCATTCCCTCAGGAGCATGTGTCCCTTCGGACACAGCATCTTCCTCAAATCCGGAGGCCCGGGAGTTACTAAGAGCATGGCCTCTTCTGCCCCTCACCCACATGGACACGTCGCTGCGGCTGCCACAGACACAGTCAAGGCGTGTGGACGTGGGCACCTTGCCACCGAGCAGCGCAGCCTTTCTTCCCGCCAAGCCTGTACACCGCCTGGTCACGCAGGCCCCGCACAGCTTGCCCAGGGCAGGTGGCTCCTTCGCTGCGCATGAAGCCAGCCCTGCGTCCCCCATTTAGCTTCACTCCATTGTTTTCAAGGAAGCAGGGCTGGAAGCCCAGGGCTGGCGTTAACCCTTTCCTCCCGGGCAGTGACGCGGGAACATGAAGCTGTTCACTAAATACGGCCAATCTTGTTTCTATTTTGAGGTATGGGGGTCTACAAAGGTTTGAAAATAATAAATTCTCCAGGACAGAGGGTTTGAAAGATAGTCAATGGAGGAAGGTGGTTAAAGTGACAGACTTCCAGTGATAAGATTTTTAAAAAGGGTAAATAAGCATTAGGAACCTAAAGCACAACATGACGCCTGTAGCTAACACTAGTGTGTGGCATAAGGAAGTGGTTAAGAGAGCGGATCCTAAGAGTTTTCATCACAAGCAGAATTATTTTTCTTTTCTTATCTATAAGAGACAGTAGATGTTAAGCAAATCTATTACAATCATTTCAAATATATGTAAGCCAAACCATCAGGTTGTACATCCTAAACTTATAAAGTGATGAATATCAATATTTCTCAATAAAACTGGAAAAAAGGACAGTCACTAGATCCTACTTTACGAAACACAGCAGCTAGAATCTTAAAATCTTAGCATTTTTGTAATCAGTCTCTCAATTGATTTAACTAATATGTCAACACCTCATATAAAAACTCATTGAGAAATTATATTTTGTCCTATTTTGAGATGGAATTTTTAAACACATAGGTTGATGTGGTTTAAAAGGCTATTTTATTACTTCAGCATCCAGCTGGTTTGCACACAAAATTGTACATATTACCCAAGTGACCTAAGTTTTATTGCATTCTGGAATGCAACACCACCTTAATTTACTAAATTGTAAGGATACTATTTCAGCACTTACATAAGAACAGTTTAATTCTTAGTATATCCACTTTTTTAAAGATATAAAAAATGCAAAACAAACAATAATTTAGCCTTAAAATTTCCATGTAAGCTAAAAAAAAAAAAAATTGCCAGTATGAATGAACACTCTTTTTGAAGACTACTGGAAAATCAATTTCCAGTTTTTGGCAAGATTACAACAGTAGTTACATGTGATTTGGATCATCAGCTTTTATGCCATACTTGTTTCCTCAAAATTCAATTGCTTATACATCTTACAGTTGAGATAGTTTCCATCAACTGCATTTTTGCTTTCAGATGGAATTGCCTTACTTCATAACTCACCAGGAACCTATTGTATACATTATTACATCAACTTTGATCAGCTTCTTATTTTTAAAATTCATTTTAACTTTTTACTTTTATATTTTGTAACATACTGTTCACTGAGCTTCTACTTTCACAAACCCAAAATAATTTTTCAAGAGTTTGAGCACTTGTTTTTATCTCATATTACCATCAAAATTACTTCCGTAAGAGATGAGGTATAACAAATTTACAAAATATCTTTTAAACTTTCAATTTTTTGTAGCAAAAAATTCAATTAATTGGCAGCCATCTACTGTTACATTCTAAATAAATTTATTAAATTAAATTATTCATTAATGAACTTTATTATAAAGTATTAAGTACCATATTTTCCCATCACAAATGCTTTTATTTATCATAATTTTATTAATATGTTTTCTTTGAATTTTGGTTTTCTTTTCATGTACATACATAGAGAATTCTCTTCAATTTGCAACATTTAAGAGAAAAGTAACAGCACTTTTTAGGACAAAATAGCTTACAATTTTCTTTAACATGAAATAAACTTCTGCCAAATTTCATTCATAATTTCAACTAAAGCAATGCACTTGAAAAGTAATTGTATATAAACCAGAATATACGACTATCTCATAGTCTCCCAAATGGGTTAGTATAAAACATAGAAGTAGCATTAAGTGAGGGTAACAATAACCAAGCAGCGTTGTTGAGCTAAACCGTATTTTCCAACAAAGTAACATAAAATTGTAGGAAACAAGCATTTAAAAATTTGTCTCCATGAAAAAGTCAGTCAATGATCCTGGTATTTCATCCTCTGACATCACATATTTACCCATTTTTACCTTTACTGTAGAAGTTTTAGCTCATGAACATATGTAACATAATATCTCAACAGAGTTTTTTCTTGCTCAACCTATTTAGATATTCTAGCAATATGCAGACAACACCAGAATGGTTAGTTTTCCCATTAAAACATATCATTTGCCAGTTCCATATCCTTAATGGACATATCTGTGTGATATACATTCAATCGGTGAAACTTGAATAGGGAAAAGAGCAACTCATCTTTATAGGGCTTAAGGCACCTTTTCATTATAACAATGCTAACTTCATCATGATAAAGCTTGCTATGATTCTGAAGTGCCTGTTATTTATGTTCTATTTCCAGACTAAAATGTTTCCTCGTTTTATTTATGGCAGGATGATGAGGTAAGGGAAAGTCGGTTCAGCTTCACAGCCTATGGAATGGGACCGTGTCTGCAAGCAAAAGACAGTGGAACTCCCAAGGGCCCAAACCACCCCGCCCAGGGCCCGCCGAAAAGCGCCGAGGAAATGAGGAAGGTCTTTATTGACCGGGCCAAGAAGATTGACACCGTCTCCCGAGCCTGCTTCCCGTTAGCCTTTTTGATTTTTAATATTTTCTACTGGGTTATCTACAAAATTCTTAGGCATGAGGATATTCATCAGCAATAAGATACAGCCTCTGGGGTCATGCAAGTGCAAACAGTCAATTCAAAAGGAAGCGTCTTCACCATGGGGGGGGGGGG